CTCACTTTCCTCCTCCTCATGGTAATTTCATAATAAGTACCATATCTAAAAGCAGCTGAACACAAGACTAAAGTTCAAATATTCAGCCAGTGGTGAAATTCAAAAAATTTCCCTAGTGGTTCTGTGGGCATGGCTTGGTGGGCGTGGCTTGGTGGTCATGTGACTGGATGGGCATGGCTTGGTGGCCATGTGACTGGGTGGGCATGGCTTGGTGGTCATGTGATCGAGCAGGCAACAAGCAGAAACCTCACAGAATCACAGAGACCTCAAAAACTAAGTATCACACTTTACACAAAAATAACACAAAAGCTACCCAACTGATACACACAATACAAAAGCAGCTGGACTTCACGCACAAAAAAAGGTTCCCACGATAGCTTTTTAAAGCATTTTTTTACTACTGGTTCGGGCAACCAGTAGCACTTTTACTACCGATTTGGGTGAACTGGCCCAAACCTGTAGCATTTCATCCTCGCATTCAGCCCTAAAACACATTGTGTGAGCTTGAGTCAGTCACACTCTCTAAGGAAGAGGAGGATATATTCTTTGAAGGAAATGCAAGTGTATAAGTATAATTAACATCATTGAGGCCCTCACCTGTGTCCTGTCTTTAAAAATAAACATTTCTCCGAGGTGGTTTTTGCAAAACAGAACAGTAATAAAAATGCATTAAAAATAAACAGTGTCAAATAGCATATGAGAAATAGTAAAATCAATCATAATAATCTTTACAGGAAGAAGAGTTTCCACAGTATCTAAAATGAGAGCATAAAAAGCAAGGTGGAATCCCGGAATAGCAGTACCCTCAAAGAGATTAGTTTTCCTGATTAATTTTCCTCTACCGAATCAAACTGCAAAGAAAAGCTAATGTTGTGTTTAATATTGACAATGTTTCTTGTTTTTAGATTGACATTAAACATATCACTAAATTTTACAGGAAACACAGTATTTGATAAATTATCTTCATGCTTTGTCTCATGTATGAGCAGCAAGGAAGGTTTTTAAACCATGATTTCTTTTTAACAGGCCACAATGACTTGGTTCACATATAATATTGTACTAAATCATAATGGGGGTGGGGTGGGTTGAGAATCCACACATTTCAGTAAACAAACAATAGACATAATTGGCTTAGTGTAATGATGAACCAAGCCAGGATGTGATGTAATTAAGTAATCTATCTAAGGAGTAATAAAGAAGAAGAGATATAAAATGGCACTAAACTCTCAGATTACTGTGAATTTCCCATGACCATTGGAAGCTAATGCAGAATTACCAGATGTTGCTTCACATCTGCTTGAAGAGCAGGCTGTGCCCCATATTACTCAGAAAACTTACTGGACACTTACGTGCACCAGGTCCTGGCTTTCTCCATTAGACATGTGGTTTCTTGAAAATAGGAAACTTTAGTTTGCAAGCAGCGAACTTTGTAGCAGAAACAACTAGATTTTGTATAGGTTTCTAGCCATGAACAATCTGGGTACCCCCACTGATGGGGCTGCCTGGTTCACCCTGCTTCCCAGCTTGTTGGACCTTAGTATGATAGCTGAGTCAAAAGTGGAGTACCATATTTTTCAGAGTACAAGACACATCTTTTTCCCCTCTAAAAGAGCGTGGAAATGTTGGTGCATCTTATACACCGAATACAGCCATTTTTTGCCCCCCGAAGCCCCACCCCCGCATCCAATTTTTGTGAAAAACAGGCTGTTTTTCACAAAAACAGAGGTTTTCCCTTCCTCCAGCCTTCAGAAGCACTCTGCAGGCTTCAACAGGGCTGGAAGAAGGCAAGAATGCCCCCGTTTCTGCAAAAAAAGGCCAGCCCATTTTCAACCCGTTTTTTGCAAAAATGTAGGCATTTTTGCTTTCCCCAGCCCTGCTGAAGCCCGCAGAGTCTCCTAGGGGCAAGGGAGGACAAAATCTTTTTCTTCTTACTTACCTCTTCAAAATCTTGGTGTGTCTTATACACCAGTGCGTCTTATACTCCAAAAATACGNAGTTTCCAGACCTGGGATACAGGTAGTCATTGACTTACTACAAGTTCATTTAGTAACCGTTCAAAGTTACAACAGCACTGAAAAAAGTGACTTATGATCATTTTTCATACGTACAACCTTTGTGGCAGCCCCGTGATTGTGTGATCAAAATTCAGATGCTTGGCAACTGGCTCATACTTATGACTGTTGCTGTGTCCCAAGGTCATGAGATCCTCTTTTGCAAACTTTTGAAAAACAAAGCCAACAATGGGGAAGGCAGGCTTGCTTAACAACCAGGCTGCAGTGATTCACTTGACAACTGTTGCAAGAAATGTCGTAAAATGGGGCAAAACTCACTCAACAACAGACATTTTGAGCTCAGTTGCGGCCATAAGTCAAGCACTACCTGTAGTCTCCCTTCCTTTACATTTATTCCAACTCTTAGCACATTAGACAGCAGAGATTTCCTTTTTCTCCAGATGCCTTCCTCTCCCCTTTGCTCCAGTTCTTTCTTCTTTCGTTGTTTTCACCTCTTTTTTCATCAAAGATTTTTCACTTACAATTTTGTTCTTCAACTGGCAGTAAGATGTAGGGGGTGGGAGGAAGCAGAGGAAGCAAGTTGCAGCAGGTATTCCATAAATTATTTTGCTGGGAGGAGGAATAAGCATGCAAATTGTACTGCCACAAGCCAGTTCAATTTAATCCCCAAGCTGAAGGAAGAGGTAGCCATAGGCATGTCCATGTTATGCAACCTCTCTGTTTTACAGATTTCAAAGCAAATGTGTGAAAATTTGTCATATGAATTTCTTCTAAAGTATGCATTTTTGTGTGTAGGATATTTTAGTGCCTTTCCAAGGATTCCCTAATGCTTTCATGCATTCTTTTTTAAAAAATCTAATAGCAACAGCACTTATATACCGCTTAACAATGGTTTACAGCCTTCTCTAAGCAGTTTACAGTGTCCACATATTGCCACCAACAATCTGGGTCCTCATTTTATCAACCTCAGAAGGATGGAAAGGCCCAGTCAACCTTGAGTCAGTCAGAATCAAACTCCTGGCAGAGGGAATGCAGAGTTAGTCTGCAATACTGCATTCTAACCACTGCGCCACCATGGCTCATATAGCTGCATATCTGAAATGCAACTCTTACTTTTTTTGTTCTTTGAGTGCTTCATAATATTCTGTGAAAATGAGGATTTCGGTACACTAGACAGTTGGGTAGGTTTGTATCTAAATTCAAAATTAAATACTCTTGATTTCTATCTCCATCCAACTAATGTTTGAGCAGGGCCTCCTATACCTGCCTCATTTGTTTATAGCAGTAGCACTTAGGCTTATATACTGCTTCATAGTGCTTTTTACAGCTCTCTCCAAACAGTTTTACTGAGTCAGCCTATTGCCCCAACAATCTGGGCCCTCATTTTACCCACCTCGGAAGGATGGAAGGCTTGAGCCTGGTGAGATTTGAACTGCTGAATTGCAGCTAGCAGTCAGCTGAAGTAGCCTGCAGTACTACACTCTAACCATTGCAACACCTCAGCTCTTTTATTTTATTCCACCTTACTGCCAAATGAAATTTCCCTTTAATACCTTGGTATTCTCTGTCTTCCACCATGTGATGAGTTAAAAAGAAAATCATATTTTAAAAAAGTACCTCCTTAGGTCTTCCTCCAGGATTGGCAGCGATGGAGCTGACCACCTCTGGTGAGAAACAGTGAATCGGTGATCGGACAGTCGGGCTTCGTGGTGAACTGGGTTCCTGGGGGCTGTTCTCATATTGACCCTCACTGGTGGTACGTCTCCGGACAAGGGCTTCACCTTCATCTGGTGACTTCTCCTGGGGCAGCTGCACTCCTGCAAATTCAATGATGTGAGGAAGGAAGATGCAAAGTATGGGATGAGTTCTAATATATACAGAAGATCTTGGAAAGTTGGCATTCAGCTCTTTAGCCTGCATATTAGCATGGGAAAGAAAGAGGCAGTGAGAGCTAATAATGTATTAGTAACTTCAAAAAATGTCTCTTTAACAGCAGATTATTATTGTGACAATTTAGGATGTCATTGATTTAATTCATATAGTCTAGGAAAATCTTTTAGGTCAGGTGTACATAAACTTTTTTGTACATGAAAGATATATGGCCTCTGAGTGGCATGCCAGGCAATGCCCTCTCCAAAGTAAGCGAGCTTGTCTTTATTCAGAATTATAATCACTCCAATAAACACTCCTGAAAAAAGGTCTTCATTAAGAACTGGAAAACATCAGGAAAATCTTAGGATGTTGTTCTTGCAGCATTTTAAGATCTAAATTGAATTAAGAGATTGTTTGCTAGAGAAAAGCAAGAGTTTTTTAAGGAGTTGGGAAGCCTCCAACCCATCTGACTATTTTTACAGCAAGACCCCAGGGTGCCACAAAACCTAAAGAACAGGCTAGCGCTTGCTTAATCAAGTCAACCAACCAATCTCTTTAAGATTGAGCCCAAGGAAATTCTTTCCTGCGAATATACTGTACATCTAGTTCTTCAAAATGTTCAACAATAAGTTCTGTTTCTCCCAACAACAAAAGGAATGTCTGATTCACAGCAACAAGATTCTAAAAACCATTCACATGTGTCCCACTGCTGTAGAATAAACAATGCAGGGAAGGAACCCATTCAAAGAAGAACTAAAGGTTCAGTTATGAAACCAAATTATGTTTGTTGCAGTAACTGGCTCTTTATATAATTATTTTTTTACAGAGAGAAAGTCTCCTCATCCCCTTTCTTAAATTTGCAGGGATACATTTTGCAGAAACTGCCTTGAAACCCGCTCAGCTTCCAGCTAAAGAAAAGAGCTGGGCACCTGGGTCTCATTCCAGTTTACCTATTTCTTCCTGTTTACAAAAACAGTAGCCGATTGCCCTCTTCATGCAACCTGTCTCTTACATTTGTTTAGATTTGTGTTTGTTTTGCTCTTAATAAAGCAGCCAGGAAGGTAAAGTAGTAGGTGAGATCCTTAAAATGTTTATTAAACACATTTGTGGGAGTTTTGATCTACATTTGATCCCTTGACAGGTCTGGATCTTTCTTTAACTCATACCAGCCATACCACCTTCTCAAGATCAACAGATTAACAGAGTTGGAAGGGACCTTATAGGCCATCTAGTCCACCTCCCTGCTCAAAGGACCCTACACCTTTTCTGACAAATGGCAGTCCAATTTCTTCTTGAAAGTCTCAAGTCATGAAGTTCCCACAACTTCCAAGGGCAAGCTGTTCCATTGGTTGATTTTTCTCATTGTCAGAAAGTTCCTCCTTATTTCTAGATTGAATCTCTCCTTGGTCAGTTTCCATCCATTATTCCTTGTCTGGCCTTCATGTGCTTTGGAAAATAGCTTGACCCCCTCCTCTCTTTTTGGCAGCCCCTCAAATATTGGAACACTGCTATCATGTCTCCCCTGGTCCTTCTCTTCACTAGACTAGCAAAGAGAAAGCAGTGGGGGGAAATAGATAAGTCAGATTTTGGGGAACCCCAATATAAAATTAAGCAGAAGAGATTAAAACAGTCAAACTGTATCAGCTAGAACAAAGGGGGGGAAATCTATCCATCTAGAGACAAAGAAAACTCCATCAGCACCACATGTAACAATCATTAAGAAAGGCACCGGCAGAGTTGTTTCTTTAAAAGAAGACAGATCATTTTCTACATTTGCCAGGCTTCAAATCTTTTAAACATTCCTCAAAGCCATTTTCCTTTAAAGCCTTACCTTCAATGGCCAAATTTAAACATAGTCACATTTCAGTCAACTAATAAATGCAAAACACACACTGTTTTTCCTCCTTTTCTGAAACTTTATGGCTGGAGCAGCACATAATCAAAATACCATTATGCAGCTGCAAGAGGACCAGTAAAGACTGGATTTAGATCCATTTCCACCTGTCTCTGAACTGTGCCTTTCTTGAATTAAATTTCAAAGATGAATGCATTCTATACCTTTAGGAATAATGCCTTTTTCTGTTTCAATTCATATATAAACTATAAAAGTTGTATCCAGGTAGTCCTGGACTTATAACAGTTCATTTAGTCACAGAAGTTACAATGGAACTAAAAAAAATTGACTTGTAACCGTTTTTGACACAACCGTTGTAGCTTCTCCATGGTCACGTGATCAAAATTCAGATGTTTGGCAACTGACTCTTACTTATGACAGTGGCAGTGCCCTGAGGTCATGTGATCCCCTTTTGGCACCTTCTGACAAGCAAATTCAACGGGGAAGCCAGATTCACTTAACAAATGTGTTACTAACTTAACAACTGCAGTGATTGACTTAACAACTGTGGCAAGAGCGGTTGCAAAATGGGGCAAAACTCACTTAACAACCATCTCGCTTAGCAGCAGAAATTTTGGGGTCAGTGGTGGTCATATGTTGAGGTCTACTTGTAGATGGAAGCTGATTTCCTCAGTTAACCCAACTACAAACCCCAATTCCCCTCCATTTCCTACATATTTGTAGCCTACTTGGCAAAAACCTGAGGGTCAACTTATGGTTAATCCTAAACCAACAAAGCACTAAATCACTGCAAATAACTTGTGGTAGGGTCCCAAGAGACTTTGAGGGAAGCCCTAAGCATGTTCTTGAGGAAAAGAGGGAAGATTAAGCTATCAAGTAGAGAAAGTAAGTGTGTGTGTGTATGTGTCTGTGTGTGTGTCTGTGTGTGTATTGGAAGCAGCAAGGCCTGAGCAAGAGATAATACCCATTATAACCAGAGCAAAGAATCAGAATGAAACTGCTCATGTGTGAAGGAAAACCCTGAGATGATGCCAGTGTCCTTCAAGGGGACCCATTCCACTTTCCTCCCACCTCAAGAAAATGGTCATTACTGGTCTGGTGGTCTTGCTGCTGCAGACCTACTTCAAATATCTCTTGCACCAGAGTCCAATCCTCTCCTCCTGCTCCAACTTCATTTTCCCCCTTGCCATTCTGTGCTTTGTTTCCCCCTTCCTTTAAAGTGTGTAGGCAGTGGGGAGGGGGAGGGAGGATAAGGAAGAACAGAGCCAGTGTTTCAGAGCCAAGAATGACAATGCCTTGGCTTACAGCAACCAAGCTTGCTGGGAATGATTGAAGACCAGCTGAAAAAGATGGGTTCATTTAGTGAATTGTACTTTTGGCATTCTCTCCCTTCTGCATTATATTTGCTAGCAAAATTACAAGCTTAGTGATGCATGTCCTTAGGGTAAGGCCATAAAGTACTGTAATCTTTAACTAAGCTCTCCGGTGGTAGAGAAACAATGGGGGCCTCCAGCAAGTCAAACAAAGCACACTGTCCATCATAATTAAACTTACAGTAACCTTATAGGGCAATTGGGCAGCATATAAATTTAATAGGTAGACAGCCAGACAGCCAGACAGCCAGACAGCCAGACAGCCAGACAATAGATAGATAGATAGATAGATAGATAGATAGATAGATAGATAGATAGATAGATAGATAGATAGATAGA